AAAGTACAGGATGTGAGGGAAGAGAAGAGAACATGGAAGGGGGAGAGCGCGGTGATGCAGGAGGGTGCATGCGGGAGGAGGGAGGGGCGGTTGCCCCAGTAAAAATCGATCCTCCCCACTCTTTTCCTACTTTTTCCCCTAGAGAGGTTTGCTACCACGAGAGAGGATGGGGTGAGGAGGAGGAAGAGGACGTGGAGGAAGGAGAGACGGGGGTGACTGCGCAGGGGGTCTCGCGGGGGTTACCTACTATCGCGTCTGTCTCTGTGTATCCACATCTCTGGATCTTCGCAACGTTCTCGTGTGTATACATGTGTATGTATCTACACGTATATGTGCCTGTGCGCGCTCTCTCGCACCCCGTTGGGAAAGGGAGGGACAAGCGCATGTGGATGCACGTGGACAGATACGCGATGCGGTCGTGTGAGGGTGTGATTGAGCGGATTTTTCGCGGGTGTTCGTGGGGCACTGCCCGTGTAAAGCGCGAGCGCATTTCATGTGTGTTCCATGCTTTCGTATATTCTCTCTCTCTCTCTCTCTGTTATGTATGTGTATGTATGTGTATGTGTGTTGCGAGTATGCATGCGCCTTGGACAGTTTTTTTCGCGGATTCTCCGCGTGTGTTGGTCCACGTGGCTGCGGTGGTTTCCGACTGCGTACAGTGCGCCTCATTGACAGTGGAAAACGCCCTGGTATCATACAGCGGGCGCTAAAAATCGGTGTAATTTCGATGAATTTAATTTTTTATATTGTACGCATGACAGTAGTACCTCTAGTTTTTATTGTCATAGAAATCTTTCTCAGGTGTCTCGTTGAAATTTAAACTTTACGTACTTCTTCAGTTTTCTGAAAAGTAAAACGACGACAAATTTACTAATTGTAAGTGTAAAATATTTTTTACTTCAAACGTGCACATGTAGATATTGTATTAAAATTGTTTTATATAATAATTAAGTAATATGATTTGATACACACACACACACACACACACACATACGCGCGCAAAAAGAGACATGTATTACGTAACAGATACCGCAATACATGAAAAGTTAAATATGTTAATATTTTCAAAACAAGTTTTTCTTTCTACCCTCACACACACACACACACACACACAATATTGATAATTGCAATATCATTGCCTACATTGTCATTACTTTTTTAAAAAATAAAAAAGTATTGAAAGATTTTAGATACGGTTTTTTTTATATCAAATAATCAGGAGCAATGAAAATTCCACTAAATGTTACTCTGCCATTCTATTAAAATCATTTAGTTCTATAAACTCTTTCTTCTCGAACTTTCGTTTTGCTACAAAAAAAGTGGCCCCAGATCTGATCCCACCTTGTCTTATAAGATTAATTGATAATATCTAATAAATATATTAAAAACAAATGCATGTAATAATGTAAAAAAATATATAAATGAAACTTACTTGTAGTATTAGATTTTTCACTTCTAGTATTAAATTGATTTTGACATTAATACGTTGAAGGATCAACACTTTTACTGCTTTCAAAGGAATAATAAAGTCATCTTAAGGCAAGATTAACAGGGATCATTGGAAATATATTTCTACCATTGTGGACCGCGTACATCAGTGCGGTACTTTATTAATACTTATATAATTATTTGTTCATAATATGTTGTATTACCTAAAATAGATTATACCTACAACGTTCGTCGGATCGCCGCGCGTAAAGAATGCGAGGAAGCTTTGGCAGCGGAAGGATTAAGGGAGGAACTTGTGCGTTCCTTTTCGCTCTTAAATTTTTCAGAGCGTCACTACGATATATCCGACAATCGTGCGCACTGTACGTCCGCGGGATCGCATGTATCGGTGCACCATCACCCCCGTGCGGTCTCGAGTCACGTTCGTGTTCGCGCTCGCTCGCTCGCTCGCTCGCTCGCGCGCGCGCGCGCGCGCCTACGTTCGTCTTCGTGTGCGTATCCGCGGCAACGCCGCCTCCGCCGTCGCGGCGCTTCTGTCGTCCGCTGCAACGATGAAAAATTACCCAGAAGCAGCAAAAGAGAGGGAAATAGCAAGGGATGAAGAGGAAACGAGAGACAGAGAGACAGAGAGAGAGAGAGAGAGAGAGAGACAGAAAGGAAGAAGAGGAAGAAAGAGAGCGGTTGAGGGAGAGAAGGGTTGAGGATGTGAACGTAGGACGGAGAGGAAAAAAGAGGGCGAGAGCGAGGGGATGAAAGAGGGAAAAAGAGAAGAAGAGAGAGAAGGAATGAGCCCGTCGCTTTTTTCTCTAGACCCCGAGCCCGTCGTCTAGCGCTGAGTTCGCGAGCCTGACAGACAGCTGCAGCGGAGCCCTGATATATCGACCGGGCCACCTAACCAACTACCCGCACTCACTATTATACACCTGCCTCACACGCACGCACACTGCCTCACGTACGTGTGCACACGCACACACGCCGCCAGACATGGGGCTGGCGTGTACGAAAAAAAGGCGGCGCACCGACACCCGCCACCTCTCTCTCTCTCTTTTTCTCTCTCTCTCTCTCTCTCTCTCTCTCTCTTTCTCTCTCTCTCTCCCCCCTCTCTCTTTCTCTCAAGGTGGAAGCTCGCTCTTTGCACTCTCGTAACGTTCTCTCAATTGCGATCCTTCTCTCTCTAATTTCACCCCCATCCCCTCCCCTCTGAATCCCTCGCTTCCTCCTTCGTCGCCGCTCTGTCTTCGTCCGCCTTGCTCTCCTGTGAAAAAGGGTGGTTGCTAGAGCGAAAAAGGGGGCCTCCCGAAAGAGAGAGGGGGCGGGGGAGGAGCGGGACGAAGCATCGGGGGTGGAAGCGCTACCACCAACGGGGGTGGACAAGACGAGCGGTGGGTGCAGCGAACGGAGCCCAGTCAGCTCCAGGATAATTAGATCCTTTACAGGTTACCAATGATTGATAGTCTTCGAAATACGTACCATCCCTCTTTCTCTCTTTCTCTCCTCGGTATCCACGCCGGGTTTCCTTCCACGTGTACACGTGGATGGACGCGCGCGTCCACAGGCCCACGTTCCACGTATCCGTGGACGTTCTCGCAGCAAACGAAATACGCGCGCTCGCGCGCTTACGAGGGATATATGCATGGTGTACGATAAATACGAAATCCCTTCAGCCGATTACGTCCTACTGAGCTTTGCCTGGGTCCACAACTCGCCGTCGGCCGTCCCCTCCGTATCGTAACCGTGTGTCGTTGTGTGCCTGAAAAAAAGGGCTCCCGAATCGCGGCCGTCGCGTCGGCCGCCCGGCTTGTTCCGGCAATTTATCGATGATCCGCGTTACCGCCGCAATGCCGCAACTCTCGAATCGCCAGAATTCTCGGCTCGAGACGAACGAGTCTGAGAGTCGAATTTCGCAAATAAAGCAAATACTTCCAAGCGTTTTGCACTGCAGCGGATAAGACGAATTCTTTGACATCCATGTGACATTCACTTTTTTGCTCATATACATAATTCAAACTAGTTTTCTGCGTGGTATAAGATCTTAATTCTATTTCTGTTAAAATTTTACATTTTTTTCAATCCAACATTTTTTTTTACAAAAATTTGCGGGAATATTAAAATGAATCGTTAAGATTTGCTTTTGAAGCCAAAAATTTACCCATAAAGTATCAGTTGAACGTACTTCTGATTCACTTTCTCCAGCTCATGATTTTAATTCGGCAAAATAATTGCAATATTTCGCGATACCTCGTCGCGCAAGCACATTTTATGCTCATTTAAATATTGTTCCAATCTAGAAACTACATATTTCATCTTCTTTAATTTATATTTCGGTTCTTTTTGCCAGCCGGTACTTCAATTTTTCTAATTGAATTTAATAAATTTCTTTTTGCCATTGACGACATTGACGTCAGCCTATACTGTAACCTTTTAATGTTTATAATATTGATGAACGTAGTATCAGTTTTATCGTGCATTCGATTATTTTACATCAGATATGGAATTTTGTTTCGTATTACGAAACGGAGCCGTGATGTTAATTGGGTCAAGAAACGGCGAAAAAACAGAAAAAACGACGAGAGCAGTAAAAAAGAACGTTTGCTTTTGTTCTGCTGTGAGCAATAACAAAAAAATGCGAAATTAAATCCTACCGCCGGACGTGCTGCTGTAGACCGGGCGACACATGCAACGTCGACTAAAGAATTAATATCAAAAACACTGCTTCGTCCAAACGCGAAAGAATACATGTATTTGTAAAGAAATTAAAAACGATATGAAGAACGTGCATTCATTTTATCTTTCTTGTTCTCGAATGAGAAGCTTGAACTATGAAATTAAGACGTTCTCATAAATTAACTTTAAGTGGAATCAAAAAGTTTCTTGAGAGAAAAATTTATTAAAAAAGAAGAAGTTTCTTATAATATTCAAAACAGAGCTTAGATCTATATACATATATATATATAAAAAATTATAACTTGATAATATATCTAATGAATCAAATGTCTTTTCCATTTTTAATTTTCACTTTCAAACATTTTCGTCAATACATAATAATTCTTTCTTCTGGAAAATAGTAAGAATTCGATATTACTCTCTCGGGCGCGCACGTTTTAAACGAAGTCTACAATGAGATTTTACTGTGTAAAATTTGAGCTTTGAGCTATAAGAAATTAACCAATCGTAGTCGATTATTCTCTTCACATTTGATTGTGATTGATCAATTTCTTAAGGCTTAAAACTTAAATTTAATCTCATCGAAAACGTCACTTTATATGTGCATTGCAATCAATCGAAAAACGAAAAGAAAACAAAACACTTTGTTGCACTGAAAAAAATATACCAAGCTTTAATGAATTATTTGTTTAAATTATGCTAATTAAACATTTACTAAATATTAAATAAAGATATATTTACTTGGTATAAAAACTATTAATTTGATTTAACTATCATTTCTTTTTATTGAGTAAATATTTATTTATAATAAATAAGTAAATGTTTAATTGACATTATTCAAATAAATATTTATTAAAATTTAATACATTTTTCGCAATATACTAAAAAGATTTTGCAATAGCGAATTTGCTTATTAACGAAGAGTCGCAGTAATACCTCATATTCTGAATTACTTCAGAATAGTTGTTTTAGAATAGCTACGTATAAATTTTATTTTCCGACGAGCAATTAATATCTTTCCCCCTTCTGATCGTAGATTGATCCCATCAGCAACTTTATTGCTCGTGCGTCAGAAAAAGGAGAGGAACATTTTTCTCTTTACGTCTTGAATAATAAATGCCTAGATATCCGATCTTGCTCGGGTTGACGTCCGTCGATATTTCGCAAAGTCACGTCAGTCAGTAAGTTTTCGTTATCGCCCGTAAAAGCCATTATTATCGGCGCATTGCGTAGAAACATACATACATGCGACGTGTAATACTTTTTAGCGAGCTCGCGGCGGCCTTCGCAGTGACTTTAGCATGCAAATCAGAGACTGCGGTATGTGCCCGGTCGGGGCATCCCTCTGCATACCTTATCACCTGTTAACATCTCTCTCTATTCCGCTCCACGCAATCGTCCCACGCAAATGTCAGTCGGCGAGTCGACGAGCGATGATTTGACGACTGGCGATGCAGAGAAGCCGTGGATCTCAAAGAATCGTAGAATACGATCCGCTCGTTAAAACCGGCTGCACCGGCCGACTTTTCAAGGTACCCGAGATTCCGATCATAAGCAGCAGTATTAAAATTACATTATAGCCAATTTGGAATGGCCTAGCGTCACGTTAACACTCGCCCGGTGATCGGACGGACGCAGAAAAACGTCGGTATAAAGCGTTCTTTTTATTGGTTTCCGGTGCGAATGATGAGCGCGTTACGCGTTTAATATTAAAATTAGCACTTTTAAAGCGTCTGGATTAAAAATAGGACGGCAACATTATCTTTTGGGAGATCGAGTGTGAACCTGCTCGACCTCTAGAAGAATTTTATCGTAAATAATGTTTCGCTCTCGAGAGATAGGGCATTCTTCTTCTTATGTGAATTCTAAATCGCGCGCGTAGCGCGTTTCTTTTACAATGGTCCCCGTCTCGAGCATATGTCTCGATGTGATCGAAGATTTATATTAAAATCAGAGGTTTCTCGAAAAACTTGATATTTCCCTGCTCATTAATTTGATAGGAAAAGGAAAAAGTGATCGGCCATTGTTAACTGCCGCTTACAACGTGGAAAAGTTCGCTCGCGCAAAAAACTCGCAAAAAAGCCGTTCCTATTCTTGCGAAGAAAATATAGGATTACACTTCATTATCTTGCTAAAGTGTAAAATGTACCGTCGGCTGTGCCGTCGTCGTAAGCCGATCGTTATACTTCAAGTATACGTAAATATATTCCTGTAAATATATCCTTGTCAATAGTCGTGTCCGCCATCGCGCGGGACTATAAAAATTCTTTATGCTCACGCAAATCGTTAAAATTTAAAGATCAGGGGAAATTAATAAAATGTAGTTCAAAAGAATTTGAAAAAGATCAGTAAATAAAATTCTTTGCAGCTCAGTTATTCTCTCGCAGAGTTGTTCTTGCAGAGAAATCAAAGTTCAAGTTACGAGGGCAGAATCGACTTCGCAAACACATCACTTCACTTAATTCGAATTGCAATAATGATAACGATGATTTTGGCATTCATGTTTAATACGCGAGTCGACATTAGACACGGAATAACAGGTTTGTTAAAGATTAACGGCACAGTTAAATGAACTTGCAAACTCCGCGCCACACGCGTTTCCTTCTATATATGTATCCGCGGATGGAATTGTACAAGTATTAGACTGCAACCTAGATCGTTACGATTGAACGCATAAAAGACTCCATACAA